GATTGAAATAGAGATTAGAAGTACGTATATTAAATATACACCAAGAAAACACAGGACCACATACCCAACATCTGTCCACTCACCTGAAAAATAAATGGATAAATACATCAATTTCATTAGTGACATCTTTTTTAAAAGTTTACAACAAATGTTGCATATGCATGCTAGATATTTCTTTGATGCACAAATTCACCAACAATCAAAATAATTTTATTAAAATGACTTGACTGACAGCTCATTTTAACAGTTATGGTCCTGTTAACTTTGTCGTTCCGTGTGGCGTTAAGTACTACATTATCAGCTTTAAAATAATAAGTTTCAAATACATCAAAAAACAAAAGTCTATATATACAAACAAAGCCTGCTAATTCTAGTTTTGAAACTATTTCAAGTTTCCGTTTAACTTCTGCACTCTAATCTCTTCAAAGCAACACAGAACAAACACAAACATTTGTTTAGATTCCATTATGGAGCACAGAACTGGTTGTGTCTCACCTCAATAAAACATTTGTCAAGTCTCTGAAAATCTAGCTGCAGCAGGTTGCCAAGAACTGGAAGGGGTTTTGGTCCTGGTGGTCCCTGATGAGGTTTCTTAGAGCTGGAAACCGAGAAAAAATAAGGACAGACAAGAAACAGAACCGTCACAGTCACTAAAACTAAGACTGGATTGAAAGACAACAGAAACCCATCAAACAGCCCCATGACTCCTGCAGAAACTGACGATCAGAGCTCTGACAGACTGGAAAACTGAACTGAAGGGGTGTCACTTTAAATAAATAACAGGAGGGCCACGTGTGTATGGTCACACTATAAGTTGCACAATTTTGATCCTGACCCCAAGACCACCATTGTCTGAAGTACACGTCCAGGGTCCWTTTATATTATATAATTTCACTATAGTTTCTATTTAAGTGAACTTTACTGTATATCCTGCTGTATTCTGATCTTATCTGTTATTCAGATATCATCAGTTTTACAGATAAGACAGTCATGGTCACTGTGACCGACAGGATTACACAAGTGGTTTAAACTGTATTTTCCATATTCTCAACAAGCTGGATAATAATTAAGCTTGTTTTTACAAATATTACGAAACAATTAAGTTAAAGATTAAACCTGACAGTTAAATGTAAAATCACTTTAGTCATTNATCTCTGATTATTGTCGTGCCTTCACTCGACAAAACTGAATGTCTGTACCTCCCCTGCAGCCTGATCAAACCGGGAAAAAAAAATCCTTAAAGAAAGTCCTTCCAGCAATTTCCTTTAAATGCAATAGTTGACTTGACACTTATGGACTGAAAAAAAAAATACAAATTCATTTTTTTTATTCATATACAGTACAGGATTATATCAATTAATATTATAATTATGTGCAGATATACACAGACACATCAAAAACAACAAGAGAAACAGTAGGAGGGGCATACAAAATAGAATTCTAAATAGAAATAAAGAAAAGAATCACAAATCAAGTATCAGTATACAAAGGGGAGATGGCAGAGCAGTGGGTAGAAGAGACAAMACCATTAAAGACAATCATCTGTTCAGACTCAGGCTCAACACTCATAAGTTTGCAGAGCAGTCACCCAGACAGCCGACCGGACATTTTACTGGAAACACAACAAACACAATTGTGTGATTGATGGAGAAAGAGTTAAAAGTTTGTTGTAGACTCAGTGTGAGGAGCTCAGCCGTATGAGACGAGCTCAGAGAACAGCTGTTGTTGCTCCTCATCAAAAGGAGTCAGTTGTGGAGGTTCAGCAGACAGTAATTATGGACCTGGGACTGGGTTGTCTTCAATCTTGGTATCAAAGATTTGGTTGTCGTCAATCTTGGTATCAAAGACTTGGTTGTCTTCAATCTTGGTATCAGGGACTGGGCTTTCTTTGGTCTGGTGTCTCTTCATGTGTGTCTTCAGACAGTGGCTCTGTGTGAAGGCTTTGTCACAGAGGGTGCACTTGAAGGGTTTCTCTCCACTGTGGGTCCTCATGTGGATCTGCAGGTGTTCATATCGAGACGATGCTTTGCCACAGACCCCACAGACAAAGTTTTTGACCCCTGAGTGGAGCTTGACATGGCTTTTGAGGTTACATTTGTACGTAAAGAGGAGTCCACACTCGTGACATTTGTAGCGTCTTTGAGTGGTGTGGCTCCTCATGTGAACTTTTAGATAACTTTGACAGGAAAAAGCTTTGTTGCACACATTGCAGACAAACGATTTCTCCCTGTTGTGYGTCTGCAGGTGAACACGTAAAGACGTCTTCGATAGGAATGTTTTTGAGCAGATGTCACAGAGGAACGGGCGATCTCTGACCGTGTGAGTATTCATGTGAGACTTCAGCGTGTTGGGAAATTTAAAACACTTCCCACACACCTCACAGCTGAAGCGTTGCTCCCCAGAGTGGGTCAGCATGTGGTGGGCTAGAGATCTGTGGTCAGTTACAGCTTGACCACAGATTTTGCAGTGATATTTATCTGTGCTGGTGTGAATCTTGCTGTGAGCTTTGAGGTGTGACTTCAGAACAAACGTCTTCAGACAAACGTCACATTGGTGTGGTCTGTCTCCTGAATGGGTCAAAAGGTGAATGTTCAGGCCAAATTGGGTCGTGAAGGTTTTGACACAAACATTACATTTGAACTTACTCTTTGTGTGTTTGGTCATGTGACACTTTAGATTATATTTAGAGATGAAAGTCTCCCCACAGTATGAACATCTGCAAACGTCTTGYTGATTTGTGAGGTGCTCCTTTAACACTTCTACAGAGTTAAACTTCTCTCCACAGACGCCACAAARGTCCAGCTGCTCATCAACATGGGTCCAGATGTGTTTGATCAAACTGCCCAGATTACAGTACCCAGTTTCACACACTTTACAAGACATTTTTCTCCCCATATTCTTCTTCAGGCCAATTTTAGATTTCCTTCCTRGTGGTTTTCTTTGCATCTGCGGTTCAGGACCTGGGGTCCATTTGTTGGCTCCATCTAACATCTCTTCACTGTTGGAGTCCAGGTTTTCTGGGGTCCAGTCGTCATCTCTCTCTAACATCTCATCTTCACTGTTGGAGTCCAGGTAGTTCTCGACTTCTTCCCTTTGTGTTACCAGTACTGGATGCTCTGGCCCTGAACTGGACAGATCACCTCCTCTGGTGCAGTCTACACTGTTAACAGGGCTGCAGAGAAAGAAAAAAAAAGTGACAACAACTTAATATTTATTCWTTTTTTACACTCTAATGTTCAAGAGGGAATCTAAAACTTCCTCCCCTCAGCAACAATCTAAGCTCCTCCTGATGGATCCCAACGGCTGTGACTCAATTCATGAACTGCATCTTTGTGAGTGRGCATTTGTTGTCTGCATACGTTGCTGCTCCACAACAAGAGCTGTCCCAATTTGAAGGCTCTCCTCATGTGGCCCACAAAATCTCAAAATTCAAGGATGAATCAAAGTATGGCCAAGGATGTCTCATGATTCATTATGCCAATAGCAAACTAAACAGCAAAACGAAGATGGTGGAGTTTTCATTTTTTTAACAAGTCAACCTGGTTTGGAAATTCATCACAGACAGAAGAATTGACGTTAGAGATATGACGTTCGCGAACGATCCGAATCTTTTGAACGGCTCTTTACAACGAACGATAGGAGCCGAATCGCGGGCAGTAACAAGCCATTTGTAGTTTTAATTAGTTTATTCTTCATATAATCTTTATATTTTCATACTTAAATCGCTCACGCTTTGCTTTTTTTACAGAAAACAGGCAGAGTTGTGGAGTACAGAAGCTCACGGTGGAAGAGGGAGGGGGGTTTCCACTTGACAAACACATGGTTCCACCCACGAGATGGGATGACGCCATTACGTATGGCTATGTGATGACGTAATACGTCCAAAATCGAACAGCTTTTTTGAACGGCTCTATGAAACGGCTCCCAAAGATTCAGATCCCTTCAAAAAGCCATTTGTCCCATCTCTAATTGACGTTTGGCAACTTAGATGATGAAATTTATGCTGCAATAAGATGTTAAACCCGAATTATTGTTTTATTTTTATTTATTTACATGTAGCGTTTTAATTGTGAAGTTATTCTTCCAGTAAAAAGACCTGTAAATACTTGTACCAATGCATTGTATGACATGAACAGTGGTGGGCAGCGCTYATTCAAAAGTTAGTTGCGCAAATTCTAAAGCACCAGTTACATTATTTAGTTCTGCAAGTTCTAAAGCGCACAAAAGACAAAAGAGTCTTAGCGGAAGCTAAAACTAAAGCGCAACTTTGTCTCAGATTTCACCAGAATTTATGTTTCCAGTGATAACATGAGCCATTCTTGCACAATACTGCCATCTAGGTGGCATGACAAATTGCTTTCAACAAATGGCACTTCTCTTTGCGGTTTGAAGAAGTGATTTACAGAAAGAGACTTTTGACTCAAGGTGTTAAAATAAAAAGTTGTTGTGGATTGCAAGTTCTGCTGCTTCTTGGCCATTTTTCTTATGTTTATGGTAGGGCTTCGGTAAGAAAGCATGCAATAGATTAGTAATTTTAAAATGTTTATTGCACAACTGGAGCGATGCATTCTGGGTAAAGGACAAAGTAAAGGAAACCATGTTCACTTCAAAATAAAAGCATGAATTTAAACTGTGCCATGCTTCAATACGACATGAGACAGCTGGTTGGTGGTTGAAGATGCAGCGTGTCATAAATCAGCTTTTCTTACCATTATTCAAGGAGGGCAGCTCCCCCCGCCAAAGAGTCGGCCCGCCTCTCCAAGAATTTCACAGCATGTAGTCATTTTATTTAAATAAGGCCAAATCAAGTCGAGAGTCAACATCAACGGTTTTCTTTCTGTTA